GAAATATAATGGCATATATCAGCTTTTGTACGTCCAAATCCGGTTAACCATTCAAAATGCACAAGTTTTATCCAGTATCTGTTCAGGATTTTAAAGGATATGTATATGCGCAGATCTTTTTACATTAGCAAATTGGCCTAACGCAATTCAGGGCAATTTCGCTGTTTCAGGCAATTTTTGACTAAGAACACAGAAGGAAGAAAAAATTTGTAGGTGGAAAATATTCGATGAAATGTGCGAGTTCTCGCCGGCGGTAAAAAAACTGACAAAGCTGTTATGAAATTTGAGCCAATTCGTGCACTGTTCGGATTGACTGTCGCTACTGTGTCGGTGATTTGCATATTGCTATACATCATCATTCAAAAGGTACTATTATCGAACTGTAATATGATTTAGGGCAGGTACTGCCCTTGCTGGTTTTTACCTTCACTGAATGGGCCGTTGTTCCTGTCCCTCAGTTACTAGCTTTTTCCTTTTGCCTACAGGGCCTTTTCGGCCCGTACTGCCTTTTACTTATTATTCAGGACAGGTTGTAAACCCCTAGGCACAGTTAATAATGAAAACAGATTAGAAAAAATAAAATGTACGATAAAAAAAGCGATCTTCTGGGTTATTTAACAAACATCACTGACACAATACTAGCAATATAGCAAATTTATTGCATAAGTCATTTTAAGTAAGATATTTGTTAAAGTTTAGGCTAGTCCAATTAATCCTCCTTTTTTCGCGGACGCAGTTGTAAAATCAAATCTAGGCATCCTAATCAGTGTGAGACACAGGCAGAGGTTTTGTGACTTGAAGAAATTAAAAAAAATTTTTTTAAAATTTTTTTACTTTTTTTAGAGAAAATTTAGAGAAAGTTGTAATCTTGATAAATTTTAGACATCATCATTTTTCCCTTTTCTTGATTAGCAGTTTAAATACAAAAAAAGGGTTTTGTCGTTATTTCAGATTTCTAATTTTTATTGAGTGACAGAAATATAATATTCATCCTCCGGAAAGGAATTAACTTGCCGTTTATTTTTGGATGGAAATAAGACCGTTGAAGGAAATTTGAGAATGTTAAGGCTCTGGTGAAGACAGATTTGAATTCGTCTAGCAACACAGATGACGCGGTAGCAGAGATTTTTTTGTCTCTAGGAAATACTTATGGATAATTCAGGAAAGACTGGTTCTGGCAAACTTTAATTTAGTAAACCGAAACGTCTTAATCGCAGCTGAATTGTTATTTTTTCATATGTGCTATAGGTGTTAGTTTTTAATATTTCCAAAATGCGTCATTTTCAACCATATTCATTCTTTAAATAGAGTCCTTCAAATAGAGTTCATTCTTTAAATAGAATTTGCAATTCCGTTTAAACTAATGAATAATTCAGTCTCGCATCATCAGTCTTTAATGTAAAGTAATTATTAGCAACGAATGGAATTTTTTCTAAATTTTGCACTTTTCTAACAGAATAATAGTGCACTCTCAAAAGTTTCTTAAACTGATGATGCGGATCGCGAAAATTCCAAACTGATCATTGAAAACTGATTTCAGGTTATTGGCCTTTCATCATGAGGTACAGCAAAGCCTGAAATTTTAAATTTGCAACTGTACCGTTTTTTTTGAACATAAAATCAATCTGAATATGGAACTGAGTTCATCGGCCACCACGAAAATAGCCATAAATATTTAAAATCTAGAAAAAATCGGCTGCTCATATTTTATGATTTTATGTTTTGTTGTATCATCAATAGTACTGTGAATTTTGTGTGTGGGCTCATGTATCTGTTACGATTTTCCACCCCTGTAGGAAGATAAAGAAGTTAGCGAAGTTGAATTTTAACGGCTCAGAAACCAAATATTAATTGTTTATTAGTAATCTACTGGGTTTCGAGCTATCTTAAATGGATAGGAATTAAATTTGCATTCATTATTCAAATTTGCGCATCTCGTGTTTCAAGCGCTTGTTTGTTTGTCCTCGCAGGTTTGAGCTACGATTATTTGCTATGATTAGCATAATTTTTATGCAACACTCCCGTCAGGAGGAGTCATGATAGGTATAAATCACGAGGATGTTTTTAAGCTCCAAGCTGGTATGATCGCTAAGAAGCTAGACCACTAAGTGCTTAAATTCCTTGGGGTTTTTTTCCGACCGAAAAATGCAGAGAGAACGACCAAATATCAAGTCCGTGACGCTCTACCAGAATGTTTCCGAGCTCAGTACATTTTTGAAACCGACAGAACAACAAAGACATGTTGTACAGAGTTGTGCAAAAAAACCTGCTCCTGCTCTTATCTCCTGATGCACACCGTTATACACAAAAATAAAGCATGTTGCTGGAATAGTATTAGGCTAAGAATTAGAAAGAGTGGATAAAGTTAAAAGTTGTATTGAACTGTGAAAAATATTATAAAAAAGAAAATATCACGGAAGCAGACGGAAGGCGATTGATAAGGAATATTACTGTCCATTAAGTCGCATACATCCCCAATTAGCAGCCCAACTGGATCTCGTCAGTATGACAGCTGGATGGTGTTGTTATAAGTCACTTAAAATGTAGAAAAAGGTGCAGGGAAAACGAAAGATCAAATGGAAAGTTTATACTGTTTCATTTTATACATCTGATTGGTACGTGCTGTGTTGATAAAAAAAAAAGAGCATTTCTTTGGTAAAAGAAGGGA